GGGAAAGAGGTTCCCCCCTCCTGCTGCAAGCAGGACTGATTCAGGAGGGATTTATCAAAAAACTGGCTGAGGGTTCTTGCAAATCACGGAATCACAGAATGCATTGGGTTGGAAGGGACCTTTAAAGGTCAAATAGGTTGTTCTGCAGTATGGGTTGCTGGGTGTCAGTCAAGGAGCTGCCCAAGGTCCATTGCACCCCCACGTCTCCTACCACTCCCTGATTCTCTAGTCTCACCGTAACCTGAAAATTTACATCTGAAATGGAAGTCCCCAAAGAAAAATGTAAAAACTAGTGCCGCATTCTACATGTCCATCTCTTTCGTTATGTCTTAGTGCTGGTGTCTTACATGAGCTCCTTAGCAGAGCCAGAGTTATGTCTCTGGAACCCTTTCCATTGTGGTTTTAAAGCAGCTGAACCCTCAAAATCAGCCGCAGGGCGCTCTAGGTGTACGTACTCTGGGAGTGAAATTCCTTCATCTGTCTTCTGGAGAGAATTTCTTAATGCTACAAACATCAAACCTACTAAAAGGACTCTTGTGAAATAGTCAGAACTTCAAGGGACCATGACAAGGAATGTGTTTCGGTTTGTTGTTACTCATCAGTGAAACTTCTTGTTTACAGTTTGGTGTGAGAGAACTACCAAGGCTTATGTGTGCCATGTGCTGAGCTTAGCTCCTCTGTGAACTTTACTGGCCCACCTGGTGATGGTGAAGATCCCAATACACCACCACAGTGACTTATTAAATCAACTTGCATTGTGTGGTAAAGCGTGATTTTTCAGGGGCTTTTTTTTTTTTCGTTCAGAGATGTCCAAGGTGAAACTGTCTTCAAGCCAGTTATGTCTTTTATTGCGCTTAAAACTCTAATTTGCTTCTGCTGTTCCTCCCTGAAAGACATTACCAGGTGATACTTTATGTCAAGATACTGCGGGTATCAGTTGACTTTTTTTTTTTCTTTTAGCTTATAACCAAATGAAATGTGGAAAGAATAAAAAAAGAAGAAAAAGCTGAACTATTGCTGTTTTGAAGAACTTCTCAGTTAAGAAAACAGAGCTAAAACCAATCCATTCCATACAAAAAATTCTGGGTGTGTGTTTTATGCAGGTTCCACAAAGGAATTGATCGAGAGCTGCTGTGGAGCCGGACAACAGTGGGCTATAGACAACGGGGAGTGCACAGAGATCCCTGTAAGTGGAATGGATGGTGATATTTGCAGGTACGTAAGGCAAAACTAACACAGAGAGCAGCCCTTTAGAAGAAATGAACTGATTGTACAATTTGTGGGTTGTCCAGAAGACATTGTATAGATTGTTGGTGCCCTGGCCATATGTCATGGCAAATGAGAAAGATTTCCCTTTCCCCAAGATCTAATCTAAACAAAAGCCTTTTAAGGTTTCTTTTCCTCTCTGACGGGCCGGTGCGGGAGGACCACGCATTTCAATAATGCTGCTGGTACCAGCAGCATCTGGTCAGCCTGAAGGTGCCAGGTTCAAACTGCACGGCAAGAAAAGGAAGTTGGGAGCAGAGGAACGGGGACAACAGGTCACACTGGCTGAAGTTCATCCCATCTCTCCCTCCTAGTCTGAAACAGGCTTTGGGGAGGGGTGAAGGTAAAGTTGTCAGAGGTTCACAGCCTATAACCTAAGCCAGATGGGTTTCTCTAAGAGTGATCCCAACATTTTCAGCGGTAAAAAAATTTGGCATAATCAGTTTTGTCAAAGTTACTGTTGTTGCGCCTTTCTGAAGTTAGTGAGAGGTTAATAAAACCTGCCTTCCCCCGCTCCCCTAGTTCTGGCATGACATAGCTGGCACGTGCCAACTGTCTGTGGAGTAAAGACAGATTAAAAAATTCCAGCCTTGGCCTAAGGAGGTGCAAATCCAATACATTAATGAGTTGCACCTGCAGATCTGAGGCTGGATTTAGATGAAAAAGCCAGATCCTAAACGTTTCAATCCCTGCGAATATACTGGGATTAAGAGAAGAGGTCAGGAGCTGTTTTACTTTCAGAACTTCAGTTGTCTCCCACTTTTAACAATTTAAACCCAACCTGCAGATAACGCTGTGTAAAGACAGCGTTTCACGTAAGAGAGTGTTTGGATTCGTGGCCTCAGAACCTGCTCCCACCGGGAGGTGTGCGGGCGTGCAGAGCTGCTCACCCTGCACCGACCCAGCCCTCGAGCACCGGTCTGGGAGCCAGCAAGGAACACAAGCTCCCGGCAGTCTGCCAGGAGCAAAACTCATTTTCTAAAGAGTTTAAAAAGCAGGTGATCGATACTAATTGCAGTGCTGGGTTAACAGTTGGACTCAATGATCTTCAAGGTCTTTTTCTACCTAAACCTTGCTATGATTGTTAAAATCAGTTGTGGTTCTGCCCAGGGTATTCTCTATAAATACTTGGGGGTTACGGGTGACCATCGCTGAGCTGAGAGATCGATTCTTTCAGCTGGGGCAAGCAAGCGAAGCCTCCCCTTCATCTGCTGAGGCTGTGGATTGTTTATGGAGAGGAGGCATGTTGGGGTGACTCCTGCTCCCAAATGCCATTTTGGGGGCTTCAAGTGGCAAAAACTTAAATGTTAAAGCTACTCATTGACGTATCTTGATGTCCCGGACATCGATGTCCCAACTTGGCCTCTGTCTATGCAGCGAGCAAGATCACTAACAGCAGGAGGGGATCTAAGACTCCCTACGATGGAGTAGCGACATGAGTGAACTTAAAGTAAAGCAAGTTCCAGGAAATCCTTAGGTAGCCAGCTGACAGCCAGATGTAAAGATACTCCCAGAGTTTGTACTGCTGGCTGTGCCAGAAATAGGATTAGATGATTAGACTAGATGAAATCTCATCGGACCCAGTACAGTGGTTTTTATCTCATAATTGATGTATTTTATCACAGCAATGTTTATCAGGGTGGCATTTACAAGTATGAATCTTGCTTTTTTTTTTTGCTGACGCTGTGTCCCAGTTAGAAACTCTCATCAGTTTTAATACATTGACGTCATTTCACTGATCTTAACTCGTTAACTCCTTCCCTAAAGCCAAAGTGTTATGAGTCTTCTTTGAGCCAACGTGGTCCGTGATGTGTAAGTTTGTGAAGAAGAAACAAGAGAACGTGGTTATTTCTGTTTGTACCGAATTCATCTTCTGGTAATAGAGTGGTTGAAACCGAGCTGTGCAGGTAGTTGAAAAAAAATGCTAAAATCAAAAATGGCCAGTGATACTCCAGTGCTCCAGACAGTACTGTTGCTATTTTGTATTTCCTACATGAACAGAATTTCTCAAGGCTGAATGTCACATTTCAGAAGAATGTGAATCTGCGGGGAACTCGGTATTTCAGCCCAGTAAACACTTTGCACGTGTGAAAATGCTTCTAGCGGCATTTTGTCTTTTCTACAAACAATAATAACTTTCAGGGGGTTTTTTAATTCTTTTTATTGAAAGTTTGGATGTCCTATGTAAGCGATAATAGTTAAATTACTGGAGTTTGGATATATTTGGTTAATAACTATTCATTGCTCCAAAAAGCAGCATTTCTCCAGCTGGCAATTAATACTGGATCTGAAAACTAACTTCCTTGAAAATGAAGTGTGTGGAGGTGGTAATCCCATTCCTGTAATCAACTGCAAACCAATGCTTCCTGCTTACACCTCTCTTATGCTATCGAGCGTAAAAATATTAACGTAGAGTTGACACAAGAGGCCGTTGGTATCAGGAAAGTGGCCAAGTGGCTGTCGCTGTCTACTTTCTACCAGAATAAGAGACATCCCTTCCTTTTTTTTTTTTCGCCTTTCTTTTTTCTTTTTTCTTTTTTTCCCTTCTTTCCTTTTCATCTTCTTTCCTACTTTTCTTTTTTTTTCTTTTTTTTCTTCTTTTTTTAATTGAAACATTAAGATGAAAGCGGTGAATTGGAAATCTTTTCTCCTCATGGGGTAAAGGCAAAGGGCCAGTGTGATTTTGTCTGCCCTTTCGGATATGAACGGAGGAGTCCTCACACCTCTTGGAAGGGGCAGGGGGGTGGAAATCCACTGTAGAGTTGAAAATAGTAGGGAAAAACATCTTGTTATTCCAGTGGACATCTATTAAATTTCCTTTAGGAATTTGCCATTTAGATTTTTTTATCTGTTTCCGTGAATCTTGTTAAAATGTTTGATTTGAGGAGCCATATATAGGAAATGTCCGTTCCCAAAGTGCTTCATATCCAGCGATCAAGTCACCCGTAACCTTCTCATTGATAACCCGAGTTAGAGGAAAACTTAAATGCTGAGTTACAGTCTGTAGGGCTTTAAAGGAGAGTTTCGAGGGGGTTTGTGATGTGACACTGTCCAGATCTCCAGGCATCAGTGTGTGCAGGAGCGTTTCCCTTTCCCCACTTTCCGGGGAAGAAGTTTTCTGCCCGTTTTCTGGTTTTGAAACCTTTCTGCTCCCTCCTGAGCAGCAAAACGTGGGCACTGCTGCCCAAACATGGGTGAACTCGGAGGGATATTGGTGACCGGACTTCGAGAGACCTAAATGCAAGACTTCTCGAGCATTTATCAGTGCGTCTTTTTGTTACAAGCGAGAAAAAAATAAATCTTTCCTGCAAAGGTCAGCAAGTACCACCTGTGTTACGCTGGTAGTGACAACTTGTAGTGACACACGAGAGACCGAATCTGAGGAGTGGGTTGGGAATCCAGTCGACCCGGGTGGTGGTTGGGTTTTTTCGCTCAGTGTGAGTGAAGGCTTGCTCGCCGCGCTCCTTTGCAGGGTCGCTCAGAAGCAGTGCTGCGTCTCCGCCGTGAAGGAGAACGCCTGCCTGGCTGGCATGATCGCTGCCAAGGAGGGGGATGCCTGCGGACCGGAGGACAGTGATCCCTGCGGAGGCTCCCCGTACAAGGTAAGATGTTCTGATGCTTCGGTTTTGGCCCGAAAATGAGGTGTCCTCACTGCCCCAAGTTTAGCAATAATTCTGTTGCGGAGCATGGGAAATTGTAAAGTTGCAGGATCGCAGCCTGCGGTGACGCTGTTTGTGTTTAGGGTTAAAACTTCACAGTAGTGTTGTCTTGAGTTATCTCTATCTCTGTTTTTAAGATTTATCGCCCTGTATTACTTTTTCTTCCTCGCTTTGGAAATAGCTGAAAAGACAGGTTTTATATCTGTGGGGTAGAGGAATTTAGGGAATGGTAGGACAAAATTTAATTGAAGATAAAATGTGAAACCCATTAGAGAACAGTTTGCTTGGCTACAGCGTTGAACTGCGGCCTCGTTTCTCGGTTAAACAAAACGACGGGCTAGAGGAACAAGCATTTTAGATGATGATGGAAGCTTTTCTTCATAAGCGAAGGCAGAACCATTAACGAATGGCTCACATCACGAATCATGAGCCACAGCCTCAGCTTATATAAATGAGATTTGCTTTATGAGAATCAGCAGAGCCAAACCAATTTAAACCAGTTTGAAGATTCAGCATCTTGCTGGCTTGCTTGTCTTGTTTTTTACCAGGAGGGCGCATTTCAGAATTGATTTCCCTCTGATAATAATTTACATAGCTATAGCTAAGCTTAAGTGCTGCTTCCGTTGCCTCAGCAGGAAGCTGATTAGTTCTGTCCTTATACGTGGGCGATTCTTGCGGATAATTGTTCACTGGAAAAATGAAACACATGGACATTCTACTGCGGAGTTTAAAGTTTAATTAGCTACTCCAATTTGTCATTTTCAGAACTCTTCTTTACTTGGGTCTGGAGCATTCCATTAGACTAAGAAGGGAATTTGTGCATTTGGGAGAAGACGTTAATATTTCTGAAGTGTGACAGAATTATTATTCTTAGGTTTTCACCGTGGATCTTTCTCATGCCAGACAGAGCACAAGCTGTAGAGTAAGTCTTATCACACATGCCTTTCCCCAGCAAGAAGTGGAGAGGGAAGACTTCATCATTCCTGTCTGAACTGAGACAACTTACAAAATACTCTCCTGGAATGGCTCCTTGTGCCAATTCCAATATAATGCTTTCCTTCATGAGAAACCGTCTGAAATGGTAAAATTTTTGCAGGAACTACTAGCTACTCCAGCTACTGCTTGAGGGGAAAAAAAAAAAAAAGAAAAAGTAATAAATACTGAGACTGTTGAGATTTTAAGAAAGGCTTTCTGCTTTTATTATAGTAAAACATTCTTTCAGAGGTGACCTCGCATAGAGTGCTGACAGCATATAGCAGTGTCTGCCTTGATCTGCTCCCCTGTTAGTGACCGCTGTGTCTGGGCGTCATAAATCAAAGAAGTTTGCCTGGAATGTGGGAAGATAAATTCCTTGCCCCAAAGCCTTTGCAAGACATTGTCCTGCCAGAAACCAGGGGCTTTACTTCCAGGTAGCAAAAACCTGGAGGTCTTCTTTGGGCATTTAGGTGTGGGATCCTTACTTCTGCTTCAAGATGAATGCAGCAGAGCAAGTTCTTTAGTCCAGGTATTCAGCTTGTGTTCAAAACATGTAATCTTAGGCTGCTTTTGTTTGTTATTTGCTCTAATACTAAAAGCACATATTTAGGGACTCTTGTAGTGGGTGGAGACGCTGCCACGGCAAATCCAATTCTGCTGGATTCCAGCAAAGACATTTTTGAGAGGAGCATAGGAAGTTGTGAGTGAAAATAGTTGTATTTGTTACCGAATTCGTTGCAGAATTCTGGTTGAGTTCAAAAGGGAGCTAGCAGAAGATGAAGACATTCCATTTTTCTGCATTTTAGAATGAACTTTTCTCAAACAAGTTTTTCTATTGGAAAATGAGACACTTGTGTTCATCTGGCAAATGTGTGAACCCAGAAATGTATGGCTGATTTAATACTCCGTGTGATGCCTGCACATGGGCTAAATGGTGAATCAAAACTCAAACTGGAAAAAAGCTGTATATTCTTCAAGGCAAATATTCCTTAATTTTAAAATACTTCAGTAAAAACATCTTTTATCTTTAACTTTTTCTGTTTTGCATATTGAAGCTGAAAAAAATGTACCAGAACTAAAAATATTTACAGAAAGTAGGATTTTCAGCTCATAAAATTTTGAATTTGAGGATTCTTGATTTGGGGAGAATGCAAACAGGATTTTTCTCTTTTGTAGCGTGACCTCAATGCATTATAATTGGTTCTTTTTTTAATACTTCTTTTGAAAAGATGATTTAGCTCATTTGGTATCAAAACCAACCCATGATCTTCAAGACCTCTGCTGTATATTTTCCACAGTCATGTATTTGGGCACGTAAAGGCAGCTCTTCATGGCTGCGCATACTTGCAAATGTGAGTAATGTCTCCTGCGGATGATATTTGGGGATTTTGCAGATTAGAAAGCAGGGAGGTAAAACATGAGCTGTAGGCATGCAAGGGTACATATTGCGTGTGAAATGCTCGAGAAAACCTAAAGCTGCAGGGTTGAAATCGTAACAAAAGTGCTTCAACGAATGGGTTGAGCTGCTAGTGGACAAATTTCGCCATCCTCCTGCTGGAGACAGGCTCTGGTTTGACCTGAATGCCCATCTAGGATTGCATCTAAAATATATAAGGGATGTCAGGACACTTAACGTTTAAATCCAGGCAGGCGTCTTCCATTCGCATACGGCTCCGTATGTCTCTGTAGCAGAGACTTACAACTCCCCAGCGTCCTTGCTTCGTTAGGTACCCACCATGCGTCCGCAGTGTGGACTTCTTGGGTTTGGTATGATTGATCTGATGTATTTTTGGGGCCTGGCTGTGCCACAGATTTGTACATGACGGAGTAAAGCACAGCTCGGTTTTTGTCTGCCACCAGCAGCAGAGGAAACGGGAGGAGAGACTAGATTTCAGCCATGCCCCGTTGTATCAACCTGTCACTGATGAACTTGATGAACTTGGGAAAGCAAAGGAAGGCAAATAGTTCATAAAATATACCGTGGCCTTTCTCTAGCCACTGTCTCAGTGGGGTGCTGTCCAGGACAGGTAGTTAAAGGTCACAGTACGTTTGCAGGGCAGTGGCGCACAGAAGGAAGTGCTCACTGAGCTCAGCTGTTGCTCCTCATGCCTACACAAGGTATTTCCAATTCCTTTCACATTGCATCAAACAACTCGCCTTTTTTTTTCATTGAGGTCTAATGCAAAGAGGTATAAACCTGAATTACTTTGTTCATGACATGCTGTATGCAAAGCAGCGGCTGTGTGCGAGAGCTAGAGAGGTGATGGGCGGCACGACTTCCTCGCGTGTGAGGTCGCCGATATCGACGTCGCAGCGAGACTTTGTGCTGGCGCCCGGCTGCAAGCTGATGCGTTTTGTGCAGGATGGCGAAACCCAGCCCAAGGAAAGCTTTGACGTTTGCAACTGTCTAAACCCTTACGTGCTTTTCCAGATGCCCCGCTGCTAGAGAAAGTGCAGATCAGCGCCGGGTATGTTGTGGGCTCGTCCCTGAAGTGGGCTGCAGTAAGTCCTTGTTACTCATAGTCTCCTCCTCTTCCAGCAATGCTGTGACTGCTGTAACCTGGGCCTGCGGCTGAAGAGTGAGGGGAAAACCTGTGAGTCCAACATCAACCTGGGCTATCCCTGCAGCCACGTGATGCTGTCCTGCTGCGAAGGGGGAGATCACTTCATCCACCCAGAAATAAAAAGGCATCCTGAACCTTTGCCAACAGTGACGCCTGAGAAGGGTAAGTGTCCAAGGGTTCATTTCGACCCAGCTGAGACCTTGCTGAGTGAGGAAGCTTGCTTGGATGTGTTTAAGAAAAGCTGACTGAGAACCTTGCTCAACAATTAATTTTAGTGTCGCAGAAAGTCTCATCAGGCTTGGTCGGAAAATGAAAAGGATGGTGCTTCTGCCGGTGTTTCAGAGCAGTAGGTGGGATGGCCGTGTCAGTGCTGAGTGGGTCAGAAGTAGCCAATAAATTAGTGATGGTGTTGAAAAGAGTTTCCAAAGCAACCGGCTAAGTTTTTCGTGTGAAATTAGAAATTCAGCATGATTCTCCAATGGAGCCAGCTTCAAATAGTTGAAATAGCAATAGCAGTGGTGTTAGTGGTCAGTGTGAAAGATGGGCTTGTGAGATCCCAGGGTCACCCTGCTTCTCTTTGGCTTCTGTGAAAAGTTTGTCCCTTCAGCCTTATGGAAGGAGTTGGTGGACTTTCATCACAGTGGTCTAATCATCGGGATGGGTTCCTTTGTTTGTGTCTTGGAGTAACTGGTTTGGGTTCCTTTGCTTGTGTCTTGGAGATTTGACTGTACCTGGAGTTTGTGTGACAGGACACTCTGTACCATATGGCCCCAGTGCTAAAACACCTGCTAGAGAAACAGCAAGTGTTGTTCTGTTGTAGTTTCCGAGACGGAAGATCACAACGAAGCCTTGTCCATCAGTAATGAAGCTGAACTGTCAAATAACCTGCCTGGAGATGACCTGGATGAATGTCTGATGTACGGTGGGGAACTCTGTCAGCATTTGTGTATAAACACCGTGGGCTCCTACAAGTGTTCGTGTTTTCCAGAATTCACTTTGCAAGATGATGGGACCAGCTGCTCTCCAGGTGAGGAAATGGGGAGGAAAAACCGTGAGCGACTGCGTCTTTCTGCCGCCTGCACTGACCCACCAAGTCTTTCTTCAGTTTCGCTCTCGTTTCTGTGAGGTTTTTTTATGGGTGTCGATGCATGGGCATTTTCTATGTAAGTTGGACAGGTTAATAATGTAAAGAAAACCAACCATGTAGGAAACCTAATTATGCCTTATTTTTGTGAATCGATGGCATGCGATCAGGGTGGTATTTAAAATGTTCAAACCAAGACTGTTCTCACTTCTCAGAAGAGGGTTTGTAAAGACTGTTAATGAGACACCTTTTCTTCTGAGACCTATTTTGTACTTTACAGTTAGCCTTCCTTTAGATAAACTTTACTCAGTTCAGACAGACAGCGTTGCTTCCTGAACTTTTTTGATTTTTATCTGAAACCATTAACATCTTTCAGCGATCCAAAATCTAAACTTATCGAGTGCCGTGGAAGTCTTGAAAGGAAAGTCTCTTGTGTTGTAATTGTTTTGATGTCTGGAATTCTCCAATGGCAAGATTTCGAATCAGATAACCCAGAAAGCTGAAATCTTGTATTAGTTACAGGTGCTTTCAGTTATTTAACAAGCAAAATAAATGTTGCCTTCCAATGACAAAATTGCTTAGGCTCCAGATACTTTCTGCCCAAGTTAAACAATGAGCACTCATCATGTCGTGCTTCTCAACGCGATGTTACCACGCTTACATCAGTAACGCCCTTGACCGTGTTTCTGCGGCGGCTGCCTGCTCTGTTGTGTGTATATTAAAATTTGGATGAAGGAAACTAATCCAAAAGAGGCAAAGAAAAGCGTTCCTATTTTAGCACTGCAGCGTTTGGCTCGATCGCTCACCTGGAGCGTGCGTGTGTGTTCGGTTTTGCTTTGCTTTCCTTCTCCCGCTGCTCGTTCTGTGCAGACCGGGGTTAAACACATCTCATATCCAAGGAGTCCATGTTCTTGGCAGATCTGCAAGGCTGCAGCGCCCGTGGCCGGGCCAAAGACTGTCGAGGGGTTTGCAAACCAGGGCAGAGGGCAGGAGACAGTGAGAGAGGGTCGTGCTGGAGTCCTGGGTCCAGCTCGAGGCTGGGCGAGGGTGGTGCTGGGGCAGGGCACCTCGCTAGCCTCGCCTGGCTAGCCCCTCCATATTCTGCTTGCCAGCGGCGCCTCCCACTTCTCTTTTTTCCTTGGTGTGCGTGCACGTCTCTCCATCCTGGGGTCTGTGCTTGGAAACCAGGGCAGTCGGTGTTCGGTCTCATACTGTTGGTAGTTTTTACTTCTGTGATTGGATAGAACGGGTTTGGATTTGCACGTGTCCCAGTGCATTTCCTCCTCTCTGATGGGCTTTGAATGGTTTTGTATTTACCTTTTTGTTTTTTAAAATGAGTCATGCTTTTTCATGAGGCTTGGAAGAAGCGATGTTCTCGCCACGGCTCTGTGAGAGGAGGAGAAAGCATACGTTGATGAAACTTCAAAATCTTCTTCTTGCTTCTCTCTTTCTCGGGAAATCATTCATAAGCCACAAGCACGTGACTTTTATTTACCTCTGTGTCACAGCCCATTATATGTCTGTGATTTCTTCTTTTTTTATTATTTAAATGAAACCACTCCTCCCATACCCCAAAGCTGTATTGCAGTCACACTTTGTCTTTTAACATTGCCACTGTTTGGTGGCTCACGCTTGGCTCCAGGTGACACTTGAGCTCAAATCAATGGGTACAGGAGACATCCCTCTTAAGGAAGAATTTAGCTTTATGGATTTAGGCTTCCATTTTGATGGAGTAAATAAACTGGATTACTCCTACTGTTGTAACAGAGCTTTTTCCTTATTTTTTTTTCCCCTTTAACATTACTGTTTGCTGAAAAGCTAAATGACAGATAGGACCTGTCATGTTTTCTGTTTGGCTGCGTAAAAGTTATCTCAGAGTATCCTGTGTTTGTGAAGGTGAGCGTCTGCTTTTCTACTTTTATCTGTGTTGAAACAGGATGCACAGAATAAGTTTAAAGACTTGTTTGGGGTTCAGCTTCACCCCCCCCGCCCCCATACGCCAAATGAAAGACAACCGCTGTCTTTACAATGCAGATGCATTTTAAAAAATAAAATTAATTCTGCATCTGACTGCTCACTTCTGTGCATAGGCAGTTCTCCACGGCACCAGAATGTTTCCTCCTACAAACCACGATGGAGTGGGATGACTGGGACCGGGTCCCTTGCTATGGGGTGTCTGGTGGAGATGATGCTATCCCTGATCCATCTCCCCTTCCCTTGCCTTACAGATCCAGACAGAGGACAGGTGACAAGGCTGGAAGCAGAAACCACCATTCCTCCGGCAGCCTCTCCTTCTCCACCTATTCTCGTTGTGTCCTTACAAGAAGAGCAGGATAAGTGTAAAGGTATGTCGGAGGTGTAAACCGCAGACACAGGTGAGCGAGGAGTCTTCAGGCAGCCGGAATAAAATTCCGTGCCTCCCTTCGCCAGTCGGATTTCAGCGCACGCCCTCGATTTGTTACCTCTGGCCTGAGGCTGAGGAATCGCCAGGGGAATCCCGAGGAAGGAATTTGGGGCTGTACTCTGATTTGAGGGTTAATAACCCGCTTTAGGTTTGAGGTGAGCCCTGCAGCTGTGCAGCGTAAGGCGAACAACGCGCGTCGGAGTGGCGCAGGGCTGTTTCTGGGTAATAGGAGGGTTGTAAGGAGTGAATAGCACTGCCTGTTTCCAAACTGCATTCCTCATCGCCTGACCTGGGACTGGATTTGGACGACCCGGAGGCTTTTAACTTCAGCTGGTGTGTGCTATGAACGCCAATATTAGTTTGCAATTTTACTTTCTGTAGATAACGGCCCCTGCAAGCAGGTCTGCACCGTTGTGGAACGAAACGCTGTGTGTTCTTGTTTGGCTGGATACACTATCATGGCTGATGGCATTTCTTGTGAAGGTAAGTGCCTCATGCTCACCACAGAGACACAGTTAAACCGCTTTTAGATCGATCCCATTGATTTCATACCCCGAGGTGTTTCTCTAAGGGCTCCTTGTTCTCGGTGTTGTGAGTTGCACATGGCAGCGCAGTGACCATGTGGCAGAGGGAACACCGGTTCTGCTTCACAGCTAACCCCTCCAGCACGTCTGTCCAGCGGGTCTGTTAGCTGGGGACTTCAGGTGAAGGCAAGCCTGGATTTGTGCTCTTTTTCCCCTGGCATTCCAGTTTTTTTTTTATCAGCCCTCCTGATTTCTCTTCCTCCCTGGACACACAGCTTTTCTTCCTGAGAATGGGAGCTGCCAGCAGGATGGGGGCACCTTTGCCGTCCTCAGGAGCGCCCCTCAGAGCTACAGCTCTGCCCTGTCACCTGTTTGGTTTGGGTTTATTTCTGCTTGCCTTCAAAACCTGAATTCAGCGAGGCTTCACTGCTACAAAGTGCGTGCCGTTGTGAGCTGGTCCAGCTCCGTGCGTTTCACTCGACAGGGAAGCTCAGGCCTCCACGATGATCACCAGTAAATTCCAAAGCTGCACCATGATCATTCACATTATTTAGTTTTTAATTGGACATGCTTGGGTATATTTGCCTAGGAAAGATTTGGGGGTCAGAAGCAATTCCCTGTGACATACCTGTATTATGAATCTCTAAGTATGGGAGCAATAACCGCCAGCAGCAAATGCATGTAGAAGCTCAGAATTGCTCACAAGTGATCCACGTCCCTCTCAACCTCAGATCTTATTGAGTCACAAATCATTTTTGTGAAATTCCAGATAGTGTTTGAAGAAAATGGGAATTTAATATCACCAGATAAAATATTTACTGTTCATTGCTTGCCCAAGTGTGGTGGGACCTAATTTGATTAATTAATGGGAGAATCAAAAGGGGCATTCCAAG